GCCACACTGTCGATTCATTCCTTTAGAACTTTACGACAAGCATGTGTGATGGGTATACATTCTCCATGATGAAACATATCACATTAAGCTTGGGCCAAAAAGATGGCGAGCGAACCTAGCTGTTTCCATGCAAATTTATTACACACAGCTCTGCTGTTCGAGGGAAGAATTCCTAGTGAATTGAATTAATATGTTGCTTTAAGCTGCTAGGAGCAAGAAACGAGACTTAAGGAAATTTGACAACAAAGATGACTGGCTTCGAGAAGCTACAGTGATGAATAGACTCACCAAGAAGTCAATTCTATCAACCAGTTAGAAGGAACTAATAGCAAGGTACTTTGAATTGGCAGCAATCAAGACTTATTAGTCTGAATCGTTTGCAATTACGAAATCTCTAAAGCACAATCAAATGAGAGAAAGTTAATTTCTTCGAAAAATGGCATGGGGTTTACTCGCATGTGACCATACCAGTTTTCAAGAAGCAATGGCCAAACAAGTAATGCTCGAATATTTTCAAATTGAGTTAACTGACTCCGTGGACTCTGTTTCTAAAGTTCTTCTGAGAAAACTTTGAGAATGGTGTTTGGGATACGAGTCTAAATTCCCATTGTCCAGGGATATCGTTCTATTCACTTGGGCATTAGGCCAAAGTTTTGCAGAAGAAGGCTCGTCTCCTAAACAAAACATAAATATATCTTTCCTTGCCTTAAATGATGCCCAGGAAATGATCTTTATTTTAAAAGGAAAGTAGCCCCGGGTGCCGTTTCAAATGTCGGTGCTCAGTTTATCAGTGGCTGATTTGCTGCCTTCTCTGTCGGTGGTAATCTGCGCTCCTTTGATACTGCTGATGACGTATTAAGAAAGAATGAAAGTTTTCGGTGAATAGAAAAAAAAGGTTTTCTTCTATCAATCAAATCATTAAAGCAAAAGAAATCTGCTTAAGTGGAAAAAATTGAAGGTTTTTCTCTTGATTGAATTAAATCGTCAACATAAAGGCAGTTCCGCGGAATCAATGGAAGTTCAATTCTTTTCTTAATTGAAATCAATCATAAAATTAACGAGCGTTTGGTGTATATATGAAAAATCGATTTTTCGCGTGATCAAATTAAATAATTATCCGAGCGGCAGTTATGTTTAAATCTAAAAGGCATCCTTTTTTCATAATTGATTCAAAGTGATTAATAATTTTAAAAATGCATTTTTTATACATAGATAGAGGTATCTCAACAATGTTCCATCTCTCCTGAAAAATGAATTTGATTTTCTGTTGGAGTCTTCACCAGTTTGCAGCTGTGCGAATACCTTGTCGGTAGATCGATTCTTAAGTTGGTATGTTGGTATAGCTTTGTAGGCATTAAAAGAGGTTGCCCAGTGTTTCTTTAAAGGAAACTGCATTTTCTATACAAGGGATCCGGTGAAGAACGGTTCTGGATTGATGAGCTCAAACGTGGTCCGGTATGGTTCCATCCTACATTCAAAGCGGAGTGATTTGTCTCTGCGGAAAAACGAGATAAAACGAATGGGATTCAAGCGTTTTTATTTTGATCAATAAACGCCTTTCTTTTATGACGTTTTTTATATATATAATCCAACAAACAATTTTCAAATACATATCACAAAATACTTTACATACAGAAAATTACTCTACAACGAAGAGCAAAGTACTATGTCTACCCCGAGGCCATCAAACATAAGAAAGAAGAGAAAGGTTTCGTGAAACTTAAACATACATTCAACTACATACATGTGTACTTAAACAGTATAAAATATAAGATGGTGGCATTGGCAAGGTAGGGACGATCTTAAGCAAGTCGACCAGTTTTACGGATAAACTGCAACTTTAATTGTAATATATTTCTATTCATGTCATTGGGTGAGTCTTTATCACCATACAGTAATGGCTCAATTAACACATTGCTTGAAGGATTGGTATATACAAATGGTCGCAGTAGTGCAAATTCTCCAGCGAGAAGATCATTTAGTTCCTCGTCAGAAAAGGGGCAGTGCAACAAAAAGTGCTCTGTATCCTCAATACCATCAATTGTTCGTCACATTGAGTGAATTGCATCCGTAAAATTGTGTTTGAATTTGTGACAGTTCAGTTTTCTGAGACCAATCCTGAGTGGTGTAATATAGGATTTTCCTAATGGTTCGTAGATGCCAAAAATGGCGTGTATTCTGATATAAAATGAATCCGGATTAATGTGAACCGGGACTCGAGTCTCCTATAATCTTTTCTACGTTTATATTTCATTTCAATGTTATCTGACACTTAATTTCACGATGGGCTGTTGAGCTTTAACTTACTCGCTTGAGTTTGTTATTGTTCGCAATTTCTTATGGTCTCTTGTGCCACACTTTCTCGTGTATTTTGTATCCGCTCTACTTGTTTATGTGCAATGCGGGGCAGTCGTTTGGCCTTATGAGGATCTGATTTGTTAAACTAGGGTAAGAAGGTGTTTTGATGGTCGCGTTTTCATTTCCTTGGTTAATCTAAGAGTATTCAAGGTATTGGCATAACGTACAAATTTGATGTTTATTTTGTTCGTGACGACTGAGTGAGAGCTAGCTATCAGATGAATCAAATGGTGACCCGCCAGGTATGTTTACACGCTTTTCTAGAAAATGCTTTGGTGTTTGTTGCTTGGCAATTTGACCCAATATAGGTACGAA